ATGCATTACATTAGGAAGAAATTAAGAATGTAAAATATTTGGGTTTTGCCTGAGTCCTTGATTTTTTCATTATTGTAGAGATACCTACTGACCTGTTTTGTTTAGTTTACAAAATGGTTGCTGTGAAAACCACTTGTGGCAGTGTTGATGTCGAAAGAGTTCTCAGGGAAGACTAGCGACATGTAGCAGCAAATTGATGTGTTCTGCAGAGTTATTGGTTGAAATTAGGTGAGTCACCAAAGGATGCTGCATCCAAGACAGGAAGACAAGGACGTTGCATCAATACAGTGTTGGCATAGCAACCACAATATTTGTTTTTAATTATCTGGAATTTAACAGAGAAAACAGCAGTTAGGAATAAAAAAGTAGCTCACAAAATGCTGTATTTCTGCCCACCCAAACTTAAACCATATGAAAGGTATATGACATCTGAGCACACAATGATGTATTAAGTTTGTGAAATAAGCCTTAAACCTGTGAGATTAAATTAGATTACAAAATGAATCCCAGTGCAGGGGAGATCGCAAACAAATTTCTGATTGCAGTTAAAGGATAGATACTGCAGTATTTATTGTCTTGTGGGACTAAATCCAGGCACACACCCAAATGTTCTCTTTTATTAGCAAAACTCAAATGTTCTGATCCATGGTGTGCACACTTTTGTGCTGGGCTCGTTTCCACCTATTGGTGCTTTACAGGGGAATATTAGAGAGACACATTATTACTCCCTTAATCCATTCCAAATCCACTAAAGGAAAATAAGAACCATCCTTTATTGTTGTGTGCTCAGAAATTAAACATTACAGTTGCACTAACAGAGTGTCTCATTAGGGTCACGTAACCGACTAAATAGAAACTTAAACCAGTAAGTTTTCAGAGGACTGTTTCAATCTTTTAATGAGATCCTGTATTTGGAGTTCTTTCTTAATAACTAAATAAATATTTTTAATGCTTTTGTGTATCTTTCTCTTCCATGCAAGATGTGGTTTTTTTCTCTTCTGGCATCTCAAAATGATTCTTCAAGTGTCTTTCAGGGTTTATTTCTTCTCTTAGCATATTGTTGGTATACATGAAGAGTTCCTTAAAAAAAATAAAAAGTGTTTTCATATAAGATGGAAGACTTAATCATATGGAAGATTAGAAAAGTTACTGAGATACTGATAGAATCAGTTTATTACTGATCTTTATCTCTTTTTTGCAGCATATTCTGACTATTTTTACATCAGAATCTGTAGAGAGTGAAGAGTGAATGAGAGCTGGACCCTATAGGGTCATGGAGGATTCATTTAGGATACCGAAAACTAGGTTCAAATCTCATGTCAATGTCCCCTAAACAGAGCCCTCACTGGTGGAATGTTGATGTGGAAGCTAAGAGTGGATTTGGCTTTTACTACAATAATCAAAAGCATTCAACGTTGAAAAACCCCAAACAAAACACCAAAAGCAGTCAAACACACAAAAAAGTCTTGTCCTCAATTACTTTTTCTGAGGAGTACTTCACGTATAGCCTGTTTAACAAACATAGCCTTGCTTATGTTATGACATGCTTTGCATTTAATTTTCTTTACAACTTTTTGGAGCTTTATATAAGTGAATTTCTATAAATAATAAATATAAAAGTGAATGTCTATAAATAATAAATATATAGCCAGCTACCACTTTCACACGTTACGATGTCACTACTACTCAGGAATTTGTAGCACCCCTCAAGTATTGGTGTGTTTTCCCTGCTTACAGAAGTTCACATCAAAATTTTGGCTTAGTTTTTTCCACAGTTGCTAAAATAATTTGGAACTATGAGTAAAGCTTTCAAACCCAGAAGCAAAGCGTAATACAAAGGTTCAATTATATGTTTTAATCTCATGACTTTCAGATATTTTTTTATTAATTTTATTAGGCTGATTTTTGATGCTTGAAAACTTAACCAGCAAACTTCATGTCTTTTAAATGAATTAAAATAAACCCCTGGTCACTAGGAAACCTGTGTCATTAATTTTCTTTGAATGACTCATCTCTTCTAGCAACGTTAGGACAATATTAGGGCAGCACCACTTGTCACCCATCAGTGAGCAGCCGGCAGCGAGCGTTAGAGCCTGTGTGAGCTGTTACTAGGACACCGATGGTTCCTTGTGTTGCAGTAAGCAGTATTGTGCATGACCATCTAAACCGTGTGATTCACTTATATCACATTTTTCTCTTGCAGACTGTGGGGGCTGTGGTTCAGAAATAAAAAATGGGCAGTCATTGGTTGCCTTGGACAAACACTGGCATTTGGGCTGTTTTAAGTGTAATACATGCGGCAAGCTACTGAATGCAGAGTACATCAGCAAGTAAGTTGAGTGGAGGGGTGTTTTCAGTTATTTTCAGCGTTCTGTTAAGGCAAGTAATTCAGTGGGTTTCATATTCCGTAGTTTGTGTTTATCAGTGTTTGGAGATATATAAAACATTAGAGATTATTACCAAAATTATTATTTAAATTGTATTAAATGCAGAAAGATTCAAATGAGCAAAAGTAGTGTGTGAACAAGCAGATATTACCCTTTGTATGTGCTTCACATAAGCAAAAAATGTTCTCAAAAAGTTCATTAAGGAGATACATATCATGCATTTGCACTGCTCCAGGCCATTGTGCTGTCAGATTTGGCCTGAACGTGATGACAGCAATGAGAGGCAGCACGAAGCACACACACAGACCAAGTCCCATGTCAGCACTCGTATCAGTGTGGTGAGGTACAGGGCTTGCACTGGCCAAGGCACCTGGGATTAATTTCTGCTTTAGAGAAGTATGTTGATACAATGAAATATTCCTAAATAGCTAAGTAACTCAATCACCAGTGCCCAGAGATGATGGAATTTCAGAGGCGATGTCCCACTGACTTTCAACAATTCTTTGGATTTAGATTAATACAAGTATAACATTTAATTTCACAGCTTGCCCTGGAGAAACAATATTTAATAAAAGGGTGTTCTTAAATAAGGTTTTGCATTATCTCAAATGTTATGCTACTCTGCTCTCTGCTGTATTTTAGTACAGTGCTTTTTTTGCTTGTTAATTAGTAATGAAAACTCCATAAATTGTAGAGAGATAATTATTGTGAAATACTCTTTTTTAAAAAAGCTGAATGCCAAATAAAATATCTCCAGAGAAGAAACATCCTGGCTTCAATTAATTCAATTAATTATTGTGATAACTTACAGGTTAGTCTCAAAGCAATCCAACTTGTATGCTATAAAATTAATTTTTATGTTTCTCCAGAGAATAAAATTGTGCCTCTGCTAATAAATCTGTCTGATCATAGGCTATTTTAGCATAACACACTAAACATATTTAACTGTGTATTAGTTGCACTTTCAAAGAGAATAGTCTCTAGTTTCTTTTAGAGTGATTTAATTAATCAGTTTAGTGATCTTGTAAAATTGTGACCTAAATGTAAAAGTAACAAGTACATTCTTTTCAGAGCCATAGCCCAAGTGTTCTGATTCTTGCTTTCTAGAACAAAAGTTAAGACTCCTGGTTTTTATTGTTCATACTTCTAAATTGTACATTATCTTAAATCACTTGTGGTGCTGAGATAACTGTTCACATCATGCATGAACATATTGCAAAGATCCCTTCTGCTGCTCAGGTTGAAGTCTCTTAGTCGTTACTGGCTTCCACGGAGCAGGTTCCCAATTTGGTTAATCCATGACTGTCTATAAGCAAGTCCAGTCAAGAATGTCAGTAGACTTCAGTGTTCATCAAGACTTGGTTTACAGTCAAGAGAATCAGTTGAGGAGTTACTCTGCAGTCTAAGCTAAGCACAATTAAATGATTAATAAAGAGGCAAAGAATGATATCTAGAAATAAGCATTTTTCCCAAAGAGTGGGAAACGTGGAAGAATTTAATGAGTAGCACCATCAAAACAGATGATTTGAAAGTCTCAGAGACTGGGCAAGAGGCAGTGGCTGAATTCACCGACAAAGGAGGAAAGTGGGATCATGGTAGACTCAGAAGGGCCAGGATACTTCATTAACTATTCAGTTCTTTACAAAATTAATAAATACAAGTATCTGGGAGGTGGGAGTCCATAAACACCCTGTGAAGTGTTGACACATTAACAAATTTTAGCTGTATGATCTCCCAGTAAACCTGTAAGCCTGCCTAAAGCAATCTCTGTGTGATCTGCTGTTCTTCCCTAGGGATGGCATTCCATACTGCGAAACGGACTATCACGCAAAGTTTGGTATCAGATGTGACAATTGTGAAAAGTATATCACCGGAAGAGTGCTCGAGGTAAGGAGAGTCTGTCATTCAAACACATCTCAAAGTGTACAGAGAGACTTGCTCTTTTGGGTGTAGTTACATGCTCACAAGTAAGTATTAATGTAGCACTTTAATGTTATTTTTGTGAAATACTAGGAACTTTTTCTATAATTCTTTTCTGTTTCTTCTCTTAATGGCTTGATAGTACATGTACTCCTTAAATGGATAGTCATGCTACTGGAGAACGTTCAGATAGCAGAGGTAATAAGTGAATGGGTTATCAGGCACATTTTAATACTTATGCTAAATTCCTTTTTTTATTCCCCACAGTTAGGGTGAAACTGCTGAAAAGCTAAAATTAATAAATTGAAATTTATTTTTGTACCCAGAAGTTAGCTATGTTGCAGAGGGGGTTTTTATTTGTTGTTTTAAAAAGCAAGGAGCTTGCTTAGTGTAGGGGAATGTTTATGCTTTATGCAAGAAAGATTTCCAGTTAACTGACCCAGATCTGAAATGGTTATTTTCCTTTGATCTAGATAGAATGGATCCTTGGGTGTATGGTTCTCCAATCAATGTTGTCATTTATCTACTTTTTCTTTCTGCCCTTTCCCTGTATCTTGTGAAGCCTTAGCAGTACTGAAATCAGGAAGAGGTTCCCCAGATTGCTCAGTTCATTCCTTTCTCTTCATCAGTTAAGAAAGCCTGGAGAAGTCCCAAAGGACTTCCACCAGAGGAGGATCTGCAAGGAGTCATACAAAGACTTCACTATCCAAATGGTGGACAATTAGAGCTGTGGAAGGGACTGAGAAGCAAATGGAAGGAAACAATGAGTCTGTACCAGATGGCATGGTGTGGTGTTAAGGTTAGGCATGGGAGGCTTTTCCATTATCAAATGTTTTTACAGACATCTCAGAAAACAGACTTCTGATAAGGGATTAACTTATACTTCAATTTACATTTGATGTGATAAAGAAGAGAGAGGTGAATTCTGAGAGAAGTGTGTCATGGTCAAAGCTATAGCAAATTTGGAGTACGCTTACCCATACCAGGTTACAGGGAGTTATTAATACTATGAAGGGAGAAGAAAAGAAGCTCCAATTTCTCTACTGACTCTTGGCTTCACAAAATTGTGTTTTTCTGTCCTGGTTTTTGCCTTGAAATGTCTGTACAAAAATTCTCTTTTTATTTGGTAATATTTCACCAGCTATGTGGTTAAACAGTAGCATGTGGTGTGATGTGACTAAGAACTGGATCCTCACTGTCTCTCTGGATGATGAAAAGAAAAAAAGAAAGTTAGAGAAAAGATTTGCATGGTGGCACTGCTGAGTTGGATCTGTGGGACCTGGGGACATGTGTTGTTGTATCTGTTTCTTTTAACTGCTTAGTGAGGGCATATTGAGCCTTGTCAGAGTCCTGTGGTTTTATTATAAATGGACCAATAACGAACTTGAGAAAAGATAATTCTTTAAAGCTGCTGTAGGAATTTTCCCATGACTGATTATATCTGTCATTGTAGTTCTAGGTGATTTTTTCAGTTAGTGCATATATGCCCTCCTCCTCTCCTCTTCCCCAATGTTGCTCTAATGGCAGTGCTGTAGCAGTGATTCTTTTCTTTCTTTGGTACTGGTGCAGGCTGATAGCGACTTTGATTGAAGTCTGTGGCATTTAACTGTGGAAAAAATACTGATGCAAGATTCTGAAATCTTTTAAAAAGAAGATGAGGAGAAAGGACTTTTGTGTTCTGTAAAAGCACAGCAGTCAGATAGTGTCACTGTCAAATAGGAAAGATAAGATGAAGTTAGAGTGAAGCAGCCAGTGGATTTGAACAGATACAATGATATTTAATGTCTGGAGGCTTGTTACAACCTGGAAACTTTATGGTCTATAACCTTCTTTCCATAAGATAGTGTAAAACAATTTGTTGTTCTGTGTGCAACAAAACTAAAGAAGGTTGAATGTGGGTGACTGTCCTGTGTCCTAGCATTCTGCTATTATGATAGGTCCTGTTCCTCGTGACATCTCCCAAAATACCTGCTCCCATCACCTCTATTTCCCTGTGAAGTGTCTCGAGAGCTTTCTCTACATTTCCACAGACTGTTTACATGGTCAAGAGGTGACACACAGAGCAAGTCTCCTTTCATGGTGATCAGCTTGTGATTTCCATGAGCCTCTGAACCTCTGTAATGGATCGCTTTAAATGGCTGTTGAGTTTGGGGGTTGACCGTGGAGAGCACTCAGACGAGGAGGTAGCATGCACACCTTATTTTATTAGGAAGCTAGGCTAAAAGTCATGACCTCAGCAAACAGATCTGAAAGAACACAGAGACCCTATCCATAACTAACATGGTTACATCGTTTGTTGTTCATCTGCAGCAGACAGACTTGTTCAAAAGGCTTGGAATTGGGGCTGATCTCTTCTGTCTGTCCGATCTCAAACTCAGTGTGTCCAGCTTGCCGATACATTTGTGTATCTCCTGGTCAAGAGACAGAAAAATGAAAAAGTAGCCATGGCTGCTTTTTGTGGTGAGATGTATTTTTCATGGAATTGTCTGGAATCCTGAAACATTTGTCGAAACTTCAGTATTTCTTCTTACCATCTTGAATATAATCTGGAGATACATAGAAATGATAGGGCAAATTGCTATTAAAGTGGAGAAAAATCTTGATGGCGATACTTATTAGGCAGAGGAATAGTCTCCCAAGGGAGCTGCTGGAAGCTATCACTTAGATCGTATTAGAACAAGATTGGACAAGGCACTGGAAAATCTACATTAGGGAACAGTCGTGCAATGACATAGGGAGGGACTATATGACCTAATAGGATTTTTTCCATCTCTGATTTCTGTGATAATGTCAGGAGGACAGCTGCTTCCACAATTATGCTGTGCCCAGATTTTATAATATTGTCTCCCTTTCCAACACTTGTTCGTTTTAAGTGTTTATTCAGCAGAGCAGGAAGGGAGAGTCAACCAGTGTGAGTTACTGATAACTTATAAAAATATGGCTGTTTTTGTAGGTTGCCAGCCAAATACAATGATGATTTAGTTACTTAAATTCTTCCTTCAGCCCATTTTCTGAGGGCCAGATTGATTCCATGTAGTAAATGGGCTTAAACACAGGATAACTCTGTTTATAATTCCTTTCTTGTTTCTTTCTTCTCCTTCAGTCCACCTTGGCTTGCCCTCAGCCTTGCAGGGAACTTGTACTGGAAAAACTACAAAAGGGACAGAGCAGCTCATTTAGAGAGACCATAAATTCTTCTATTGCTTTTAAAGGCAACAGTTTTACTGTTCTTTTTACAAAAAGCCTTCTCACCAGTGCTTTTATGGACAAAGTTTGGTTTGCTCTTTAAGTATACAGAGCACTGTATATGCTTAATGCAAGTTCCCCTAGAAACTGCCTTGTTTTTCTCTTGACCATGTATATTGATAAGCCTACCATTTAAATGGCGAGCAAGAGGTGGCTGGAGTTTACTTTATAAATTGTCTTAAAATGCAGTGCAACTGAAAATCTAGGGAGTAAAAAGGGTTATTTTAGTGCATATGATACAGCTCTGTTCCAAATCCAGCAATATCTAAAATCATGCAGTAACACAGAAAATAAGCACATTTTAAAATAAAAAGCACTTGGTTTTTTATAACAAGCCATTTCCCTTTTGTTGTGTTGCATCTATTTCTCTGCATTTGTCACTAAAAATATTTTTTCTGTTTTTCTCTCGCAAGCAGTTATTTATTAATAAAATCTCAACTTGTGCCAATGAGCATATCATAAAAATAGACAAAATAAGTGTAATTGCTTTTTTTTTCTAAAAATAGACTGTATTTTGCATGATAATTCAGAGCCTGATACAGGCCTTTTTCAATCAAGAAAACACTTTCTGTTTGTTTCATGATCTTTAATCAGTCGCCTGGCTGTGTTGGGCTTGAAGGAGGCAGAGGGGTCTTGCCTACCTCCCAGTCCTTCCCACATGATGAGTTCTGCGAAGGCCTGGGAGACTGTTGAGGTGCATAGAGGAGCTGTGTGACAGCCAATGACTCCTCCTAGTCCCCAGCTGGGGAACATGCCTGAGTTTCCATAACACCTGTTGTTTAGAAACAATATCTCAATTCCAGCACATCTCTATTCCTAAGTCTGTGTACAGTTACTAATTCTTTGAATACAGATTGATTTTTAGCTTTTTTTGTCTTTTCCCTTTTAGTTGATGAACTCTAAGGACAATTTATACAGAGCAGTTCCTTTCAACTTTTATTTTGCAGAACTGAAGAAGCCATGTTCTCCTCTGCTTGTAAAGTCAGCTCCAGGCTCTTCTGGTGATGTTGGTGGACCTCCTTACTATCTATTCCCAGCTGGAACCACCTTCTCTCACCATGTATAGACGTTGTACTCCAGGTGGTGCCTCACCACTACCTTGTGCAGTGATAGAAACCCCTTGCACTGTTTCTAAAGAAAGCACTTTCCGCTGGTATATCTTGCAGTGAGTGTGGTTTTTTTCTGTGGCTTCATTAATATTGACAGCCTGTGGTGAGATATGACTTGGAGGGTTTTCACTTCATCTGCTGTTTCAGCTAGTGATGTTGTTAGAGGAAGCCTACGTTGTTAAAGTAATTCTCCATATCCAAAGATAACCTCCTGGAGATGTTTTAATGGCAAATGTGGTGAGGGTGTGAGGGAATCAGGTATGATTGCTTGGACGGGCAACTGTAGCACAGGGATAGCCAGACTGAGCCACCTCTTGAGAAGCCTTCATGACCAGCTGTGCTGGTAGCTGATGAACAAGCTGGATCTCCACCACTACTAGCTGGTGTTTTGAATTTCATGTGAATAAAAGTTAATGGTGTAGTGTGTTGCATGTTATGCTTTTGGAAAAGTCTCTTGAGGCTTATATATTTGTAGCCCAACTGCTTCTGTAAGCACTGAGGGGTGTTTTCAGCACTTGGCTAGACTTCTGTCTGCAGCTCTCCCATGATTTGCAGCTATATGACGGTGGCATAAATGGGTACTACAACAAGTGCTGGTGAAAACAGCTGTAT